TGAGTGTAAGCAGGGCTTGCTCATTGCATTTATGGCTATTAGAGAATGTTAAAGTACTTAAAATTCTAACCAGTGACTTCAATAATTTCACATTAAGCATGCAAGTTTAATAAATTATTGCTATTGTACAAAAACTTAAGTTAGTAATGAATATAAATGAGAAAATTACTTTATGAACATATTTGACCCCTGTAAAATGTGTGATAGTCTTCAGGAATTCCGTTTTAGGGGGAGAAGAGAGGAGGTAGAACTGCCAAGGCTGAGAGCTTTGCACTGGGAAATAATAATGCAGTGCAGAAGACGAATAACAATAGTTGGATAGTTGCTTGGATCATAGCCAATTATGTTCTATTTCTTTTGTACTATAATACTTTTAGAAGATATGCATTGAGCTGTATTTTTCAGTGCAAGGAAACATTGGCCTAACTGCTTCCAAAAGTGGAAAATATTGTTCTTTAATGTCCAGTGAACAGAGGAAAAAAATTGAAATGAAATGAGGAAAATAATAGTTGTGGTAATGTTGCCACCTCTCCAGTCAAATGAAAATTGATGACATGAGGGAAAAGAAGAAGAAATCGATAGACTTTATCTGAAAGACTATCCTAAAATGATGAGGCTTTAATTTTCCTGATGTTTAATTTTGGACATATATTTTGTCTTCAACTTATTTATGAAATGCAAGTAATTAAGTAAAGGGGAAAAAAACTATAGCACAATTCAATAGCTACTATGTGATCCTTGACAGAGGGTTAGTCTATTTTTAGCCATAGATTTATTGTATTTCCTACATTAAAGGCTGTAAGGCACATTTATGATTGAAGTATATTTTGACCATTATTCACATAATATATTAATCCCAGTTTAATTTTTTAAAGGTATTATTACTGTTGTTTGAGCACATGATCTGGTATTAATCTGTATTTGTTTTTCACAAATCATTTTTAAACTATTTAAGCTACTACAAGAGAAATCTGGATTGCCTAAAATTATAAAATGACAATATATTCAATGAAATCATGTCTTCATTTCATAACTTGATCTAGATCCATTAACCAATTCTGAAGTTCTTGAAATACTATTAATATCAGAATACATTTTGGGTGATTTTAAGTATATAATTTAAATTACTAAATGTAATTTTGAATTATATAGAAAAGTTGAACTTCTCCCTATGTAGAAACTTATGGATATATCACGTAGGAAGGACAGCAAAGGAAATTATTCTTAATGTTGGAAAGACAATGCAACTTAACAATTACAATTTCAAAATGTAGTTATGGGTTCACTTTTTATTTATGCATTAGCTGGCTATCTGTACAACAGAAAGATGTTTACTGAACTATTATTTCACATGCTCAAGGGTAATTGATCTGCTTAAAATTATTTATAATTTGGGAGGGGGTATTTCTGTTTTTAATTTTTTCTCTTTTTTGCCTCTTTTTTGTATACATTAAAGCAACATAAAAAAATAAAAAAGCATTTCCTACTTAAAGACATTTTTTCAAAAGAAACATGATATTGCTAAGCTGCCCTTATTTTATTTTTTTCCTAGAAGTAAATATGAATCTTGTTTTCTTTCATTGTCATCCTAGGCATTAATATAAATAATGAGGCTGTCAAGGATAGTCCAACCTACTTTGTAGTCAGATCTTCAGCAAAGAAACTAACCTCACCATTATCATCCTTGAGCAAACTACAGCATACTCTCCAATTATTTAACATGAACAATCATAAATACTTACAACACCGCCACATATAACTTTGGTTATAAATCAAAATAGGATAAAATGTACAAATTAGATATTCCAGAGGCAAGACAAGCTTCAAAAATCTGGCTGCTGGGATTTCACATTATATTCTTTAATAACCTTAATGGAGTAAAGGTTATAGAAAGCAAGACAATTATACTGTAAATACTGTAGTTGAAATATATTCATTCTCAAAGAAAGAACAACAGAGATTTTCAGGTTATACTCTTTTGATCATAGCAATTGCTTGCTAAAATCATTCCTGCAAGGGATTAGTTTAATTAGTAAATGAATCAGTTAATATTATGATTTATACTTTATATGGAACATTATAAAATTAAATTCATGAAGGCAACTCAAAGAGAAGATGAATCTGAAAAATAGTTGATGACTTTAATCCTTGGAATACTTACTTTTTGAATCTTTGTTTTTTATAAAGAACAATTATGTATAATTAATATTGTGAATCAAATCTAAAAGATAAAACTCAACCATTCATGTAAGCAAATCCAATTAACTGAAAATATAAAGGGACAAAATTGAAACCCTCAATTCTTATTTCTTTCCATTTTTTCTCTACTTATTCATTTTCAGTTCAGTGAAGACAAATATATATTTTCACTTATATTCCCAAACTTTACTAGACTGTTTTGTTATTTTGAGATAGACATGCTTCTCTATCTTCACCTTCACCATGATTCATCTGGCACTGATACAGGTAGATCTAATTGGCTATCATCCCAATATAATTTTAATCCAGATAGAAAAGTTTATGATAAACAGACTTTCAAAACTGTGATTTGTTCAACTCCCTTTTCATGATGCATAGAAGAAAAAACAGTTTTGGGAGAATTATACTTTTTTCTCCAAAGCTAGAATGCATAATCATTCATGTGATATTAGAAAAACTCAAGTATTCCTATATGAATTATTAAAAGAAAATAAATAGCAATTTTAAAAAGTTCCATGTTTTGCTAAGGTGCTCCTAAATTTAAACTTTTCAAATGTTAGAAAACAACACAAACTGAGTTTTTTAGCAAATAAATATAAAACTTTTTTCTCCTTCCTTTTCTGTACAACTATGTATAAGTTTCTTCAGTGCATTGATGGATTGATAATTGCATTGTAGACTTCTAGAACTCCAGGTGATATAGGGTATAACATGTAAACATAAAATTTTCAAATGCATAAGAGCAATCTGGATGAAAACAATACTGTACTTTGCAGTATACAATGTTTAGCTCTTTTGTTTATAATTAAATAGATGTTTTTCACTTCTATACTTTTCTTCATCAACTGAACTCCATGAAATTAGGCCATTTTTAATCAGATGTAAATCTCCTTTTTTCTTAGTCTCTTGAATACACACTACATTTATTTTTCTTCAATTAATTTCATAAAGTAATTTAATCTGTTTATCATTTACTTCTGGTGTAACTCAAGTTGTAATCTTCTGTATGGCATAATTCATCAACTGGCAGGCATCTAGATATTGACTTTTCTGCCATTTGTAGTTTTGGCACAACAGTTTTAGAGAAGTCTAGGTTACCAATATGAGTTGAATTTACGTTAGTTTCTTACATTCTATTCTGACAATACTAGTCAATTTGTGCCAATTCAAGCCTATATGCCTCTAGGTACAATAAATACTGAATTTTACCCAAGCATGATGAGCTTTTCCTATTCAAGTTAAGGACCTCAAATTGAGAGAATATTTTGCAACATAGCAATAGCACTTAGACTTCTATACCTCTTCACAGTGCTTTACAACACTGTCTGAGTGGTTTACACAGTCAACATATTGACCCCAATAATCTGGGTCCTCAGTTTACCAACCTCAGAAGGATGGAAGGCTGAGTCAACCTTGAGCCACTCAGGATCAAAGGAATCAAACTCCTGGTAATGTGAACAGAGATAGCCTGCAATACTCCATTCTAACCACTGTGCCACCATGACTCTTAACATAGTGTTGTGTATATCCACTATCCAGAAGATGCAATGAAATGACAACTACATAGTACTATACTAATATACATACAGCTGCTATAAGCTACTAGCAGGAGTAAAGCTTGTCATAATTCAGAGGAAGATCATATCATACATTATTATTCCCTTCTTGGTCATCTCACTGAAAATTCCTTTAGTTAAAATGAGTATTATTGATTTCGAGGGAAGAAATGGCAGACCTAAATGGCTCCATGAAAAGCAGAACCAACAACTAACTGGTGGAATGAAGATCCAGAAATAGCCTGGCTCTTGTGGACAAGAAGAAGACTTTATTTATTGTATTTTAAGAAAAGATGAAAAGTTACTAAAATTGTTTATACTTATGCAATTAATATATAAATATTCTTTATATATTTCTTTCAATTTTCTTCACTGAATTCTTATTTTTTCTTTCTTTTCTATTTATCATTCTATTTTTTTCTTTTCTACATCTACTGTTTCTATTTTTTATTTTTTTTTCCAATTTGCATTAGTTTTTACTGTTCTAATTATAATTCTTAATAAAGTTACTATTAAAAAGACAAGCATTATTAAAACATATATAACTACATTAACATCTAATTATATGCTCATAAGGTTATTTTGAATTAGAAGTACAGAATTAATTGCTAAACTATCTCCATATCCATAGCCTAAAACGAAGCAGCATATTGGCATAATGAAGCTAATTTTAGGAATTCTATAGAGCATTTAGAATAAATGAACTATGCTGGAAAGTTGCAGAAGGAATAAAGTTTTTAGGGTTGAGAAAGGATAATTTAGAAATGGAAGACCTGCCATAATTAAAACAACAAGAAGCACAAAATCTTCTAAAAGAAAGGTAACAGTGAGGGAGGCAGAAAGAAAATCTGGGGATCATATTGCCAGAACTGTGAAGACAAATAACAAAAGATTCTTCAAACACATTAGAAAAAGGAAATTAGTATTGGAAGCCGTTGGTCCCTTGAGTGAAGATACAATCCACTTTCTAGATTTGTATACAATCTGATATCAATTCTGTGTGTGTTTACATGAAGAAAATTATATGGAGTTTTGGGGGCTCATTCCCAGATATAAGAACTGAAATTTAGAGATTATGCGGTATATTAACTATAGAAAATACCATGCTAACTACAGAAAGTTATATTTTTTTAAAAAAATATTCAACTTACTTTATGCTCTTGATTTAGATTTGGAACTGTCAAATATGTGAATGAAGCTTTTTTATTTTTCACTTTGTTACTTGTTGAGAAATAGCTTCCTTACCTTTCTCTTATTAGTAGGACTGACATAAAGATAACTCAGCACAGTCTTTAGTCCCACTTTGTCATTTAGCTTTTCATATGTTGTACCATAATCTGTGGACCTGAAATGAAAAGAATACATTTAGTGATTTCAGAAAAGAAGTAACACGTAAGGAAAATGAATAGAATACAGTAGAGAGAAAAAAGAAAGAGAAAAACAAAATGTAAACAGTAAAAAGAAGTAGCTACCAAACTCTTTAAGGGAACATGAATGATAAATTTATTTGTAATTCCTATAAAGAAGGTTAGAAGCTACTCATTCTGACCATTAAACCCATAAAACACCAATTCCTTTACTATAGTTTCAGCAAAAAATCAAAATCAGTTTTATTTCAAATATTCCTTGAATCAATCTCTTATTCCATGCAACTGAACAAATGTCAAATGGTCAACAATTGATTAATTATGTGTGGTATCTAGTTGAATTTAGCTTTTGAAGCAATAGATTAAATTACATAAATTAGATAATTCATGAGCACATTTATGCTTACTGGGCTCCCTTGCAGGAGAAAGGTTGATGTTTACAAATTCCCACTTCACTTTGCAGCCTTTATCAAAAACTATTTTAGAGATGGGAAGGCAACAGAAGCTACAATTTAAAAAGGTAAAAAATGGACAATATTCTTCCATTTTATCCCTTCTATAAATGAGTGAATTCATACACACAAGATCAGGTCAGAATGCAACCTGTAACAATAGATTACCCAACCAGATAACCAGAAAACAAGGTTAAAACAAGGTTGTTTTTCTTTCTCTAAACTTGCCTCTCCAAAGAATGAACTTTCTATACGAAGAGTTAACTTGTAGGCTTTTTCCTGTCAGTGAAATGAAGGACAGACCATCTAAATCTGATCAGAGCATATTCAGGTTGTTGTGTATCCATTCCATATATGTTTATAGGATTGTGATAAATACTTTAAAGTTATTAACTAGGCTTAAGATTCTAGAGCTTATATCAGATGGAGAAATGTTCCCAAATATCTCTGGGAACCAATTATTGCTACCTTGCCTTTGTTTATTGTATCAAATTCTGCCAAATGTGACTTATTTTATGGTTCCTGATTTTTTTTAAAGTAGTAAATATCTATGATATTCCATATCCATGAAAATTATTATACATATATAAAGGGCTCCACACAAATATGAAACTCAAAGGACCATGCCGGGGGCTTTTTCTACCTGAGAAGAAAAGCAATAAAGGGAGTCCTTATTTAATGATTGTTCACAGTTACAACAGTGTAACTTTGCAACAAATTCTTGCATTTATGATCTTCACAGGTCTGTAAAGCACATAAAAGTTGAAGTAAGATTGTACACCCAATTAAGTTTCACTCAACAACTGTCTCAATGACTAAGTTGCTGGTCCCAATTGTGGACTGTCTGTAATTTCTTCCCTTGAAAAATGTGAGGATTAACAGGTGATCTAGAGAACATAGTTGCTTGTTTGAGCAGCTGAAAATTCCTGGTCCTTTCTCCTATATGCCTTCTCTTTTTTCTTACTATTGATCTTGTTTTGTGATTTTGAGGAAAAGATAGCTTTACTTTATCTTCTAAAATAAAACAGTGAACGTTTATCATTATCCACAGAATATGGAGACAAGATCTTCCTCAATGTTTTCTCATTCAATATGCTAAAAGTCACTGCAAAAAAATTAGTTCCCCCGAATTTCAATTCCAAAACATACATATTGCAGACACAAGTATTGCAAGGATGAAAAAAGTCTGATTATATTATATGGTAATTTATGACTGTGTTAGTTGACCTAATACGCTTCATTTGTTCTGTAATGAATATAAACATTCATGTGCTATGTTTTTAATTTTTATAAAAGCATCAAGGAAAATAGAAAAACTTCAGAAGCATATTTCTGTTTATACAAATCTACATTCATGTCATACTACACAATTAAAATCCAATATTTATTTCTATTTAAATGTTGTAAAAATAGAAAATTATACATATACATTGGTGTTTGAGATCTGATTTTCTAAATATTAAGGGTTCTGCAATAAGGGTTCTTATAGAAAAATGCTTATTTTAGTATAGAAAGAGAGGTAAGTGGTGGGTTGCTCCCGGTTCTGTCCAGTTCTTGTGAACTGGTAGTAAAAGTGGCGGGAGGCTCCTCCCACCTGCCCATAATTGACAATCTGCGCATGCGCAGAAGCTTCTGTGCATGCGCAGAAGCGCTCACACGCAAGCGAAGTGAGCGCACATGCGCACTCCAATTGTGAACTAGTAGTAAAGGTAAGTAGAACCCACCCCTGGGTAAGTCCTTTGTACTATTGAATGACTGACAAAAATTAGATTTCTTTCCAACCTTGTAGTTTTCTATTTTAATTATAGAAGCAAAAAATATCCATTTTCATCGTCTTGTTCTAAGTTTCAAACTGTAGTCTATAATTGAAAAAAACATGAGCATCTACAATAACCACTGACCTTCCAGAATACAATCAATATGCAAAATAATTTCTGTCTCAAAAGAAGCCACTAGAACACAGGAAAGTAACACACGAGCAGTGATACATTTTGATCACCACAAGTACAATAACAGCATGAACTCCTCAGTTCCTACTGGAAGATATACATTATTGTCCGGTGGATAAGAAATATGAATTTGAATTAATTATATATATTTAAATTATGGAAATGTGACCTATAGATGCAAAAATCTTTCCTGACTTGTATGTAATTAATACCTCAGTTCCTTATTCCATGTGTCTCTATACCTTTGAACATTTAATTTAATGTACTCTAACATCCATTTATTAAGTATTCTATACGGATTTCTTATTGTATTAAAAACTGTTAAATTAGCCAGTTTGGTCTACTGTTAAGGCACCAGGCTAGAAAGTGGGAGACTGTGAGCAATTTTTTCTTTCTTATACTGGTGCTGGTGACATAAGGGAAGAGATACCTGTATGCTTATAGCACATACACATCATGACCAGGTTTAAGCATGGTTATTTCACACAGCCAACCCCACAATCATTCCCCAGGTCTCACTCTATGGATAGTGCAGTCCTTAGAGTCAATTATAAGTGACTTCTCCAAAAACACTGAGCAGACATAGCTAAAGTAATGGAAACAAGGCAAACTGAACTCTCTTCTGCACCTAAGGCATGGGGGGCGGGGGGCGGAGCAGCACCAGCAAGGTAAACTAATGAATTCTGAGCAGCATACAGCAACCACTGAAAGCAAACATGACTCTCCAGACTCCAGGCATGGGGAAGTCAATTTGGTTTTGATGGGTTCAAGGCACAGTGAAAGGCAACTTGACTTCAATAGATGCAAGGCATGATAACGGCAACTTGACTTCAATTTGTGCAAGGCACAACAGCAACACCATGGTGACCATTCTGATTCTGCCACAGAGCCTTTCATGTCCTCCCAGGTCCCCGGAGCCAGCAATTTCCTCGTCATCCAAGCCAGCACCAGAGGGAGCCATCACAACATCTCCAGGGGATCCTATCTCTACTTATTATTGCTTTTTGTGAGGTAGAACTCTGATAATGTAGGATCTCATGGCATTTTTCACATGTAAACAAAGGCTGGAAGTTATAGACAATCATGAGATACCTATTTACTTAAATCTTCAATGCAACTGGAATAGTGAAGAGACCCATCCCTCCTTATATGTCGGACTGATCACACAAAATTGTTAACTGAACATGAAATAATGCCTAAAGAAAGTGAGGTATATTATTATACCACAATTCTGTTATTTTCAATTCTTTCTTATAGTCTCTGGTTGTTTCATATTCCCTTCAGTTTCTTGCTGTAGTACATCAGAGAACAGTAATTCATAACATTCACTGCATAAGAAAACAAAATGAGATATGTAACAATAAAGCTAAATACTGTTTGGAATTGTATTACAAGAGCAATTGTGAGATCAATAGGACACTACTTCTACTTCCTATAATATTATATCTTAAACCAATTGTGACAACTGGCTTTTAATTTTTAAAAGGGCTAAGTCAAGCTGAAAAACCATGGATTAACAGCATTGGCCAGAATCCAAATTCTATACTGTACTTATCTATCTTGGTACCAGGAGCAGGTTTATTGCTGAGAAGTAATATCCTTTTAAAAACAGCTTGGAATTAGAGTTCCTAATGTATAAAGTTGAATACTGGTAATGTGGGACTAATTAAACAAATATCAGTGAAAAATCCAATAGCTTGAGATTCATAGGGTCATCCAGTTCTAAGTGGATAAATATATAAAGGTTTTGCAATGGCATGAGCGCTAATACTATTCTTCAAGCTAACTTACCAGTAAGAGTTTAAAGATGGAAGAAATCAGATTCATACAAAATAAAATAAGAGACTTTATAAATTCATTTGACAGATTTGTTGGATAGATATAACATACAGCTAGTCCTCAAATTATGACCACAACTGAGCCCAAAATTTCTGTTGCTACATGAGACATTTGTTAAATGAATTTTGCCCCATTTTATCATCTTTCTTGCCACAGTTGTTAAGTGAATCACTGCAGTTGTTAAGTTAGTACTACAGTTGTTAAGTACATCGGGCTTCCTCATTGACTTTGCTTGTAAGAATATAACAAAAAGTGATCACATGACCCTGGGACATTGCAACAGTCATAAATATGAGTTAGTTACCAAGCATTTGAATTGTGATTACCTGACCAGAGTTTGTTGCAGCACACACAATCAGACAATTCAGCCGGATTCAAAACTTCTTTATATATATAATAACACATAAGGCAAACATATAATTCCCATGCTGATTTTTCCAATGTGGTAGAGAGAAGAGATTGTAAGTAGGTACAAACACAGGCCGGGGACAGCAGAGAAAGGACTTCTCCTATATACAGAACAGTTGAGCTAAGCCACGCCTAGGCTCCTAACTGTCTGAACCACCAAACATTGGCTGACCTTGTTGCTATGCCTATTCCAACTCATGAACTCTTATACACTGACACATGGGAGTGTTGCACTAGTCACAAGTATGTAAAATGGTCATAGGTCACTTTATTCAGTGCCACTGTAACTTTGAACGGTCACTAAACAAACGGTTGCAAGTCAAGGATTAA